TATCGTTACATAGATAAAAAAAAATAGAGAGTTCACTCGGACTCGTTGACGAAGCATGAACATGAAGCGTATAAGAGAACACGATACTCCCATAAACGTGAAACCACTGGGATTCGTTTTCAGTAGAGTTTGCGGTTTTCCTTTTATTCGAATATATAGGAATAGGAATCGGAATCAATTCGGCGTTCTACTCAGAGATCGCACGTGGAACTTCCAGACACGAACGCAGTCGAATGATCACGTGGGCTTTCGTAATGCGACAGCTGAGCATCATCTTGGCCCCGGGCTACAACCTCATCCTCGCAAAAATCCCGCCAGCAACCTTCACTATCGGACCCATTAACCTAAGCTTAACTGAAGAATCAGCCCCAGGTGCATTGCTTTGCATTCTATGGATAATCTTTGAAGTGTTGCTGTTCTTCGGCTACTTCAACATGGCGGAGGAGTACCGTAAGCACAAAGACGAAAAGAGGAGTAGACGGCAAAGCATGAGGCAACAAGTATCTGAAACGACTCCGTTAATTGACGCACAGAATGGAAACAATATCGTCTCGGTGAGTGGAAAGGTAGCACGAGTGACAATGGTATCACATCGATTGTGATGCAGAAACATGTTCACTTTCTCTGTACGAATTCCCCATTTATCATCAGATAGTTCATCAGTGCAGCAAGTCATTCAACTAAAAAATAATTCCATGTTTTCCCGACAAGATTAATTTTCCATTGTTGTGAAAGGCGTTCGTCCTCAACAATAACACAATCTGAACTAAATATAAAACCGAGTTTATCTTTCTTCGAACTTTCCGCAAACCTTTTTTTTTTCCCTGCCACTTGGAAAGACAGCATGTGAATAATAAGTTGCTTTTCACCCCACGCGTCTGGCAGTTCTCCCCACTTCATCGAACATACATACATCTAATGAATGAAGAAAACGCATATCTAGCAAGTGTAACAGGAAATGACAGTTACTTGATCCTTTCCCTAGCTCAAACGCTTCTTTTTTCTTTCTTTCTTTGGAAATATACTGCGCCTCTAGATGGTGCGAAATATGATTAAATTATGCCTGCACGAAAATCCTTCCTCATCCAAATACCGGTACACAGAACAAGGATTGAAAATTCACATTCCAGCTGGATCTTACTTTTTTACTGTTTGAGGTTACGAAAATTTATGAATAGCTTGAAAGAATGACGACTCTAATAAGAATCAAATCTTTCACGCGCCGACAATCAACGCAAGCATCCTCAATAATTCACGTCACGATTATTTCTAGCCCCAGTTCTGAATAGGGGGAAAAACTGAATGCGTATACTTGAGAGGAAGTCAGAGGAGTAAAAACAGAAGAACTGTTCATAGGTTTTCACCTTTTCTGAAAATTAATTTCGTTCATAAATTGACCTCAAAATTGATGAAATGAGTTTTCATAATTCCGTTTCCGAAAAATAAAGCCCATTATCAGCAAGTATCAAACTTTAGTACTGTATTCCAATTAAAATTTTTGCGCAGCTGTTCTTACATTTTTTTGCATGTTTCGAAGACAAGCCTCCATGCACGAAGAATTATATTACAGTACTTGATTAGGGGTTTCAAATGCCATAATTATTCGAGTACCACGCTGGAACTCGCACTTCATCCTAATTGAAAGGAAAAAAGACTGCGCATCATACGCAAGTACAGTTTTTATTTCATTTTTACAAAATGAAAGGATGTGAAAATTAAAATTGAATAAAATTCGTCAAAATTTGAATTCTGATTCACAATATTTTATTTATAAAATATTCAAAATTTTAGTCTATTAAAATCGGGTGTACGTCTAATTTATTTAAGGTGTGTGATACTCAAGCACTGTAAATACATCAAGTGGAATAATTTTAAAGTTTTCTCCATTCCAGAAGAGACCTGGAATTCTGGTTGACAAACTTTTGAAAAGCTGCTTCATTTCATACGCGCCCACGAAAACCAAAACATTTTTTTTTCGCCTCCACAAGGAATCCAACAAGCTTCTCTACATGATACCTTTTCCTTCCACAGAAAACCTGGGGTTCGACCGAGAAGGAGCCGACATTTTCTGTCTCAAATGACACAAGAAAGGTGTCAATGCAGAGGTATTGTAGAAAAATATGTAGGGTAGTTTGAAATCGTCGAGGTATCATCAGTTGGCACCAAAGATATACTGAAGAAATTTTCTGTCATTCTAAAAGTAATATTTACGTTCAATTCTGGAAAGACACGCAATCTTTCTCGGGTATCATCGAATTGTGACTGTCCGGTGTGAATTTCAAAAATTTTTAAATCTCGCATAAGAACCAGGAATTATCCCCAGGAATACCTCGAGATCCCAGACGGAAAATGAACCGGGGCTGTCCAATGGCGAACCATCGATCCAAGCCGACGACGACAGCGAATCCTTCAGCAGCGATGACGTGTTCGACGAGACGGCGTTCATGCAATCTGTGCCAAGTTCGGGGTCACTGCAAAGATCAGCAATCGGCTCCGCCAGCTCGGCAACTTTCGCATGGGCTCAAGAGGCTCACAAAAGAAAGCTGAGTGCGCATCAAAGGTTTGCCGTTGGGGCAACAAAGACCGAGGATGCTGAAGTTATGGCAAGCATGCTCTCAGCTTCTTTGGAGAACACTTTCCGTCCGCAAAGTACGGCGTCTCCCGGAAGCGAGTTGTACATGAACGGTAACCGATTTACTCCAACATTCCCGAATGAGAATAACAAAAAACCCCCCGCAACATTTCGTTCCAGAATTCTTGAATCCCAGAATAATACTGCTCATGTATCTCATGGTCATTGGATTCTTGGCACAGACCATGGTTGAGGCAAGTATAACGATTTCCAAACAACCCGATCAGAATAAAACGAAATTTCTCGCTTTCGCTTCGACAGACGATAATTCCACCACTGATGCAGGCGTATTTCGGTTTCGCGTCCCAAGAGAACAGTCTGATTTTTATGGCTGTCGGAGGAGAAGCTTTAATGGTTTACGCTGTGATCCTCAATTGTGGACGGCGAGAGAAGAAGTCAAAATCGGCTGAAGCTTCCGGCCTCAATATCAGCTTCGCAGAAGTTGAAGAGACCAACAGACGGTTCAATTTATCCGAAAGAGGAATCATTGCGTTCAGTACGCTTGCTCTAGCCGTTGCGCTCATTGGATTCATTATTCTAGGAGCTTTCCTCGAACCAGGTAGGAGGAAGGTGCACGGTGCCTTCGATTAATCGTGTTGTATTTTGTCACTGGTGAGCCGGAAATTCCAACAGGACGAACTGAGCTCATGGCACCGTTTCTGGTTTGCTGCGGGATAACTTTCTTGGCCCTTCCAGCAGCCATGGTTTCCTGTGTGTCTCTACTAACGATCTGCCTGGACTACAGAGTGCAAGGTGAGGGAAATAGCAATGCAATAACATAAATAAATTAAGGATGTACGGGATACAAAATTCCTGTTCACTGTGATACATACTGTAGGTGGTTTCGAATAAGACACAATTTTACACGTCGACAGTTACATTATTGAATATGCGAAAATTGTTTGAATACAACATACCCCGTGAAAAAGCATACAGTATTTGTGCATCAATTACAGTACTGAAGTTGGTATTCAACGCCAACTTACATCTGATCATGCGTCATTACGCTCATTGCTTCAGAAGCACAAATTGGGTCATCGGAATCCGAGAATTTCAACAGATATTCTAGACTAAAATATGCTTTTTTGTAAACTTCCATCCCAGTCAAATTCGTCATGAATGTCCATCTACGCAAGTTACTTGCGATTCAAGGCCGAATAATATGCCATCCTTTTCCAGTGCGACCATCCAGGAACATTCTGACCATTTCTCAACATTCAATACGACTAAAGCAATAAATAGAAAAAAATTCGAGGCTGCGTTCCTTTTGAGACGAGAGAAAAGCTTAAACTTGTGTTTTTAATCTTTCATCAGTCATAAGATCAGAGAAAATTAGTTCGAAATATGGACGAAGAAAATTTTTTTTGGAGAATAACACAAAATTGTTTCCCCGCACCTCGAAGTTGAAGGGGATAAAAAAAAAACCGAACAAAGCTCTTCGAGCCATGGTCGCTTAACCCTACATGCGTGAGCGAAATTGAAATGCGATCACTACGCAAGCGTAAAAAATGAACCCATGATCATTTGAAAGCAGGACTTTATACCCAACTGTTTCGTCTAAATCAGAATAGACGAGAGTTCCATACGGTCCAAACCGAATAAAAAAAATTGCAGCTTATTCGAAGAATCGACAATCTAGACACGGACAAGGAGGGTTTAAATAAAAACGCATTTCATCGAGTACCACGCACACCTTTTTTCTCAAAATTGAGAGGAGTGCGCTTCATAGACGGGTATACACTTTTTCAAGTTTCACAAATTTAAGTGTGCATTATTTCATTCAATAATGGAACATTTCGGAATAATTTCAAGAGAATAACTTACTGCAATGGAAACAATTGAAAATTACTTGAATTCAGGATCAAATCATGTCCAAATTCAAAATTGGGTGTCAAAATTATCAAAAAGTGGAAGATATTTCAGAAGACTTTCCGTTTAAGAGCCATTAAAAGTGGGGGCACGAAACACTGGGGATAGAATTTTATTTAAAAATATGAATGAAAAACCCTGGTCCGCGCCTTACTCGAGTAAATACGGGTTCAGTATATTCGCAAGGATTAACAAGTTCATGATTTTGCAGGATTGGGTCAAGGGATGCGACGATTTTGTGATTACCTCGGGAATATTCTTGGTCCCCTGTGGGGAGGAGCTCTCGTTTTTCACCCCTTCCCTCTCTTCGGAGGCGTATTGTTCCTAGTCGTCATCCAAGGCGTAAGCGCTTTCTCAGATTCAACCCTCATATTTCATGGTCACTAGAAAATCTTTCCAGATCCTGCTAGTGTGCACGTACAAAGACCTGGATCCTAAAGTGAACACGAACCCGAAAGAATGGCAGCGACGATCTCAGCGCATCAGTAGATGAGTCAAGTCAGTCAATTGGCCTCCGATGAGGACGAACCCGACATCCGAACCTCAGCTGACCTGACTCACGCTTTCCTCCGAATCCACCGCCTGTATCGAGAGCATGCGTAACAACGGATTGCTTCCAAATGACCAATTCCACAACGTATTCACCGAGACGGCGAGGAACCCAACCCTTCAGCGTTCTCCCAAATTCCCAGTCGACAATGACGCGTCGATCGTCAATTATGGATTCATGGGCTCTTTTGTAGCATTCTTTCGCATCAGCTCTGGTTTCGAATTCCACCATCGCGTACATTTTAGACATACCAGTGACTAAATCTCGTACAACTCGGCAAGTGCAAACTTTTCCGTATCGGGAAAGTTCCTGGAAAATGAAGAACCGCAAGTTCATCAACTTTCTGAGGAATGAAAATGTGGATTCATATAAAAGTTTCATGATGTACTCACATGTTGCAATTTATTTTCCGTGGTATTGGGGTTCAACCTGGCCACCATCACGGTACATGATGGATCCTTCGAAATTTTCTCGACGTTTGTGGACTTGTCAAGGCGAGAATTCGAGCTTCTCTTGGAACTTCTGTACTTCACAGGCTTATACTTCCGTGCATTTTGAATTGCCCGTTCAACAGCCTTGTCGTGGGGAACATCGTCAGTACAATCGATGCTTCCGGCCTTCAGTGGATCGTACGGGTTCAGGTATCTCGGCATCATCAGTCACCTGCACATAGGTAGGGAATTTCAAATCCAAATATATTTAAAACAGACCAATAAAGAATTAACCCCCGGTTTACTTTACACGGATCTTCCGAAGCTTTATTCGCAATCATTTCACGAACGAACCCCGTGCACAAACAGACGGAGAGAATAGTCGAACGACAGTCAACACCCAAGGCCATGAGCTCTCCGATCTACGACATTTGTATAATTAACCGAGATAATCACACCTAAAAAAAAAAACCTGTACACTTTTTCACAGTTGATGAAAGATGCATTCATTATCGGTCACTTCCAACGAAATGCCACGACGACTGCATAAATCGACAGGGTTTGTTTGATGAAGCAATTCAAAGGGAGAGTGAAGAATGCAGAATCAAAATAAGACACATGGGGTCGTTGCCTGAAAAGGTTCCTCTTTTAGCTTATTACTTCTCGTTCGATGGAAATCACTAGCTTAGAAGATCGACGGTGAAAAACAACCGTGGTCGCAGTACTCGAACAAGACTCGACTCGTCAGCGAGAACTGATATACGCATTAAAAACCCGGCTGTGGAATCCAGAGAGGAAGCAGTAATTATTAATTCGCCGGAGATGCATCCATCGCAGAATTGGCCGGCAAGCGATAGTTCACGTAGGGAACTTCCACGTCTTCGTCCGTTTCGTCATTAACACACAGCTCGAATACCAAAGCTTTCACATGGGGTTCGATTTTCCGTTTCGACACCTTCCGCACGATTTCTGACATCCTGAAAATGAAACGGAAAAATTGAAATTAAATTATGATAACAGAAAGGTCTATACTCTTCATGTTCATAAATAATGTGGCAGTGTTCCCAAAAAGCAGGACTTTCTCGAAAGAATAACTAGCCCCATCACATTCTCTGTGCACCGCTTATTAGAAACGTCGTGCCTTCGACATGACCCCCACATCTTAAAACTGTGAAAAGTAGATTCGTGAATAGTTTCGGAGAAGCACGGAATACGAAAAATATCGCGTGAAGTACGAAAAATAAGCTTCCATATTAACCTACATTCGGCGTTTATGGTCCATTAAAATCCTGCAGTTTAATGTAAGATTTGAAAAAGGATTTATTCATGCAGTACGTTACGGCATTTCATAATACTACTGTACAACGCAAGTTTTGTATTACAGTAATGCATTCCGACATTGATTTTGAAAGCCAGCTAAGTTCGTTCTTTCGCATCTAGACCAGTCTACATTTCAACTAAAAATACACACGAATATCCATTCTGACTCCTCAACAATGGAATAAGAGGAGGGCGGTAATATTTTCGGTCAATTAGAAAAAACGTCATTTTGCGATTCAAGATTCATACTCACGGAAGATCAATGCGCTCAGTTCGTTTCGCAGGCGGCATGAAGAAAGAATATAGCATGCAAACGCCATGCGATAACATCGTGATCTCCAAACGATGCTTCTCTTTAAAATAATCCATAAACTGCCGAAGCGTCATTTCGCCTTGCAAATCGAAACGATCCCAAAGCGTCCACTCATTGTCGTAGTACTTCTTGACAGGAGCCGGCATAGGTTCAGAGAAAGTGACGAACGGCAAGGAGAGATTCACGAATCCATTCTTAAACAATGCCCTGACTTTCTCCGTTTCGGCGCGGTCCCCACTGCTGGCAACGGCCTCAAACCGAGCCTTGTTCGCAATCAACTTATACAATTCCAACGCAACGAGTCCAGCAACAAGCGAAGTTGTCGTAGCAATCGCAGGAATAATTTTTCCTGCGATCAATTTGCTCTACAAAAGGTTGAAGTATAATCAAATACTAAAATATAGAAGCGACCAGGAAAGATGCGTACCTTATGACGATCAGCGGGCGCAATATCGTAATTTTCTGCTCGCAAGTTTGAGGCAGCGACGATGAAATCCATGTGAAAATTAGTATCATCGTCTTTTTCGAACTCGATTGGAGTAACTCTCACATCCTTCAGTTCTTCAACTTTTGGGAGCTCCTTCTCCAAATCCTCCAGTCTCACGCCATCTGCAAAAAATATTCCTTGTGAAGGGTAGAGATGATGATCGAACAGAAACCACTCACCATAGAAATGCTGAGAACTAGCTTGAGCTTCAGCGTCATTCACAGCAATCCTCACTCCCGAAACTGGGACAAACTTAGGAACCTCAATTTTCTCCAATATCGCACTGATTTCCTCCCAATTTCTGGAGCCCTTCAATCCATACATTTCCGCACGAAGATTCGCGGCGGAGATGACAAATTCGCGATGTGTTTCCTAGATGGAAAAAGTTACACGAAAACAAAAAATTGCAAGAATTCTTTCCGAACCCTTGAGCGGAACACTCACAATAGACGGATCAAACTCCAAGTGATGAGGACAACGCTTCGGTCCAGACCAGAAGAGTTGACCAGATGATGTCACTTGATCAGGTGGGAAATTGAATAGAAGTTGCTGGATTTGATTTTTAAAATTTTCAGCCCAGACAAGGCGACCCCAACGAACGCAGTCAGCAAAATTGGCCGGGCGCTCGTCGATCAACGACTTCTTAACACTCTGCAGAGTTTCCACGGGTTGGCTGCCAGGAAGCTTCATGGTCCTTTCCATAAACTTCGGATCAGTCAGGTACGCATGTGCATTTTCCGCATGTATTTTGAAATAACCCTCGAAGAGATCACGCGACCACTGTAGTGTGTGTTCAATCGCATTCGGAAAGTTCTGAAAAGGGGAAAAACGTGATATCAATACCACGATGCATCCTACATTATCCAGAGTACGTACACGCAAAGTACAAAACGGGATTGATTTTTCTGGAGGATCTTGAGACGAGGAGTAACTTTCCGTGAGGTGCGGGACGACCACTTGAACATTCCCTTTTGTACCCAAGGTTCCTGATTCTAGGAGAGGTTTACGATAGTAGACACATCGCCGGTCCATGTAAGTACCTTGTTATTCAACGAAAAAGACGAACGCTCAAAAGACAGCATATTCATCAAATTGTTAATCTGCTCACGAGTAGGAACGTTGTCTAAAGCATTCGCCACACAGTCCAAGCGCTCGAAGAACTCATCATCATAAATTCTTTCAGTATCAGCTCCAAGTCTGTTCTGATGCGCGATGATATGAATGCTGGGGTTCATGGTTTTCACCTACAACAAAATCGGTCACCCGATAAAATACTAAGACAGAACAATGTACATTACAGTATTACTACTTACAGCAGAAGCCGCAGTATCCGATTTCGGTTTCGACAAATCCCAAGAGCGAAACAAAAACTGACGATTCAGGTTTGATTTCTCGATCGTATCCATGTCAGTGACATAAATTTTTCCAGAACCACCTTGTGTTTGAAATTAATATTAGCCTGGGATTTTTTACAGGAAGGATCAAATCAGCATACCGGCAGCAACACCCATCATCGCAAAATTTTTCAGCAGTTCACATCCAATAGCTCCAGCACCAGCTACGAAGAGGTGATAATCCGCCAGCTTCTCTTGGAAGGCCTTCCCGAAAATCGCAGTTTGAGCGTCATAGCGGTTGTTCGACGATTCAAACTCTCCAGAAGGTGTCATGATTTCATCCTCTCCTTCTCCGACTCCGGCCGGCGTGACGCCACTCACACATTCCAAGGCATCGAAATAAAGCCATTGCTTGATAGGGTGGAACTTCCCAGAACAGGCTTTCATTACTTCTTGGGCCACAATGCCACCAATCACTGCACTCATTGGAGCAACGTTTCCTCGGCTGAGATACGAAAAAGATCTGAGCACCTTTTCGTCCCAATCTGAATCTGATACGACTGCGTTCCCGGCACCATTATGCTCCTGGTTCAAGTCCTTAGCCAGCATGATAAATTTCTCCGCATCATCCTAGAAAAATGTAATGAATTTTCACGGGCTCAACTTCGAACCGACCGGTACTTACCACGGAGTACGAAGCCGGAAGAGCTTCATGATCGGCAACGTAACGATGAAGGGTTCGGAAAGCAAGATGCAACAATCCGGGCCTTGTGAATTTTGCAAAATCCGTCGTGACGAAATCTGGATCACGAATAGCCTCACGCATCTGTTTGAATTCAAGGTCCATGCCTTGCTTCACTTGCAGAGCAATCCCTCCTCTTTCGTATTCACTGAGGCCCGACGTATCTCCAATCGAGAATGTGTACGGACCTGTTTATACCAAGGGATTTAAGGACGAATATTTTCTTGAATATTTTTTCTAACATACCCTCAACTGTGATCTTCCGGGGTTCGCAATTGTTGAGTTCCACCATTCCTTTGACCTCAGTGAAAGTTACGTAATCACCATCCTCGAAGTCATGCCTCGCATCGTCCAGTGTGGTGACGAGGCCCCCTTTATCACGGCTTATAGATGAAAGCATGGCTGACGTCGGTTCATTCCCGTTAACATCCGAAACATGGAACTTCTTCCCAAAATCAGTGAAGATTTGGCCGAACAGGCCCTTAACGTCGCCAACGATGAAGGCAATGTCATTTTGATGAGCAACTTCAGAAATGCGGAGCTGCTCATCCAAAGTTGAATCTAACAGAACGACGACCTACGAAAGTAGTTAAATTTGAAACTGAAATTGGACAGAAAAACAAGCGCGGTTCCACGAACTTTGAATTTCCGCACAATATCGTCCGTCAATGCGTCAGTGTGAGCAGATACTGGCACATACGAATTCAACTCAGAAATTCGCTCAACGCAGGCAAGGGCACGATTCTTGCCGATGTCTTCTTCCCTCAAGAAGAACTGGAACGAGAGAGAGTTAGTTTAATGACCACAGATGTAAATTACGTGCAAAAATTTACCTGCGAAGAAAGATCATGCCACGTGCAATCCCGGGCGTCATGGAGAGTGACGGACTTCACACCTCCGAGGACAACATTCTTCGCGATTTCCACACCAAGCCCATTCATTCCGGAAATGAGAACGTCGGAACTCGCCATGCGCCTCATGGCCTCGTGACCCAATACGTACAATTGACGGGAGTACAGCGCTTCGTCAATTTTAGCCTCCCCTGCCTTCGCGGAGCCATTCTGCGCCATCTAATCAAACACCATCATGAGATAAATTCCTTGAAGAACTTCTATTATCATAACGCTACAGCAATTCAGTATTCTCACCGCAACACCGTTATGTGCATTCACAGTTCCATTGTCGAGGCCTCCACCAGACGCACTGGAGTATTCTACAGCCACACCAGTATGAAGTTTCATCATCTTCGTAGGAGGACTGTCAGATATATTGGCTCCTGCGACCGAAACTGACGTGGCCTCCAAAGATAAGGGCTTAAGGGAATTCAGCTGTCCGACTGCACTACCGCTAGATGACATCTAAAAGAAGTTCAATTCACTGGAACGCCAACCGCTCCTGACTGATCATAACCTTCAAGCTTCTGACGGCCGAATGCTTTCTGCGAGTTACTTTTCAGCAATTTAATTATGGAATCAAGGAAATCGAGTAATATCTTCGAATAGTTCCACAAGCCCTGCAAAAGAAATCGCTATGTCAACGGCGAAAATGGTAGATACTTCAAAAGGTTTTGTCATGATCATCATACGTAGGATCACCAAAGTACACTAGACCCAGAAAATGGCCATTTCTCAAGTGCACTTGTCATGGAAAAGTTCGGAAGAAAAAGTGGCTTAATAAACTTTAAAAATCAGAAGAAACCATCACGTGAATGGCACGAAATCATTCAATAATAATGGAACAACATAAGGATACGCTAGTTTATGTTTTTGAAAATTAATTTAACCACAAATCCTCATCAACCGATCGTGATTGTTAAGCCTTCGAAGTTCGAAGGTCTCCGAAAGCTCGCAACGCTCAGAAATTCAACTTTCAATTTGATCCCTCTCGCAGGGTTGGTTTCTTCACGAAGAAACTTCGGAACCACGACAGAGCAATGCCAATAAAACGCAAGAACTTGGGTTCTCGTTCGAGGAAGGATGCCCAAATCCCAATTTAACAGATGGCACGCCGTCTTGTTAATGCTTGTTGATACAGACTGATCGGCTATACACACCGACCGCAGAAACGCGAACACAACATAAATTTGAGCACCAGATGTAAAATATATCTCAAATGATACGTATTGTCCACATGCAGCATGTACACTTCTCGTGTACAAGTGTCTCACCTCTTCTTCGACAACGCAGAAATGACATTCGTCCCGCTAAAACCCGAGTGTAGTTTCCATGCTACATTTCGTGAATAACCTTCATTGATAAGCGAATCCTACGGAGTTCAAAGCCTGGACAAAGAAATAAATACTATACAGTACTATAGTGCACATGAGTAATAGTTTGTCAAGCGACATCTCGCAGCATACTTGCCATAAATTACTGTGATTTAAACCTTCAGATGTCACTCAGCTGATGGTCTTGATATGAACATGTGATGGGGTCATCGATTCCAGATCAGCAAAAAAATTGTTAATGATCTACTTTGTCATGCAAGATAAGATTGAACTTGTGTGACATGGCATCACAGTATTCATATGCTGATACTGTACTGCAGAAGTATGTTGGAAAAATTCAACATACATCAATGCAGCTTTAAATCGGTAAACAATATTTTGAATACATAAATTGGAAATGTATGCTACGATGCTAAAACAAGAGAAAATATATCTAACTCAGTGAAGCAATACCAGAAGATTTCATTTTCAGCTGTGTACTGCTGATAACATTATGTTCAAATTTCCCTATACTGTACTCATATCACTTCAGATTCAGTGGTTACACTCCAGATTTCTGCATGCGTGAGAGAATGAGGCGAGTACAGTGCTGTACTGCATTGTGAATTGCAAATTTAAAATGCACATCCATCTCAAATGCTAAAATGAGCAAAGTCAGTAGGGCTACAGTATGAGGATGCGGCACGCCCAGGCCTCAAGGTGTATTGGAGGGATCTTCCAGTTTCTAAGCCAACGTGGGGATTTGTTTATACTCGACATGCCACTATAAGAGGAATATTGTCATTAAAGAGAACAGTTTTACGGTACATTATTTAATATCCTTCAAACAGTGCAAAAGAAAGGTATGATCTGCAAAATATTTGTTGAAGCTAGGCATTGTTTTCACCCACCTGTAGTGCAATATACAGATTGTACTGGTTGGACCTTGCGGTTGCCGGAGGTTTTCGAGATGGTCATTCTGCAGTTTACCTTTGTGGCGACGTTTTAGACCTCGCGGCGACGCTCGTGGTTCAGGGAAAGTGTGCGATGTTCGGGGAAATTGATGGCGAGACGTTTCAACCGAGAGGTGGCGTGTTTATGAATGGATTTCTTCTTCGTAGGATTGTGATACATTGAACCATGAAGACTGTGAAGGTTGAAAATTGGCCGATTTTTTTCCTTCAACGTTTGCATGCAATGCACCAAGCTGGAGTGAAATGCGACACAATCCTACGGTTTGCGAATGAGCCAGACACTGTTTGCCTGAAGGTGAGACGATTAATGGCTGGTTGTTTATTGCCATATATTTGTCAAATCTTTCTTTTTAGGTGCACGGTATGGTATTGAATTCGTGTTCCAGATTTTTCGAGCTACTTCCGAGGAACCGTTCCGGCGCGCTTCAAGTCTTGACCCTTCCTTGTGGCGTTGGGTATAAAGAGATGGAATCAGTTGTCAAGTAAAAATGCATTCTCAGAGCAAGTTCGCGAAAGCTATTGGGGATATTACTAAAATGATCGGTTTTTCTTTGCAGCTTTTTGTATACCGGTTTACTGGAATTTCAAGATGATAATGCTCTCCAAGTATATCGCCTGTGCCAGCGGTTACAAGTTGACATTCTGGTGAAGCTGCTTGCTGTTCGTTTCAAGGGAGCGCAGGACATGAATCCGGATGATCTCACGTTGCGTTCTGATAAAGTTGAATTTAAAGAGACTCCTCGTCGTGGAGACTCGCAAATCGTGCTTGAAACGGATGGCGATAATGACAATCAAATGGACGAAGAAGAATGCTACGATGATGATGGAGTGGATGATGTCAAGTTTTCGTGAGTAACGAGTGTTTTCTTCGTTTTCCATGCATCATGCATTTCTTTGACGTGTTTCAGACAAACAATGCTGTCATTTAAGAGCGATCGTCAGATTAACAGGTAATTTTCTCTACACCTTCAGACCTTATCGATGTGAAAAGTATGTAAAAAGTTGTTTGCTGTTCCAGGGGACACAAAGTTGTTGACTCAATAACTTTGGATCATCAGTCAAGAGCAGCCAGGAGAACAACTTTGATGGCAGATCCATCATTAATGGATTTTGATCTTCATCGTAAGCGTCCACATTCGAAACGCGCGAAGGTTGAAACAGGTGATGAGGAAGGGGAAGACGATGAATCGAACGATGTCAAGGATGACGAATTCAATTCTTCAACGAAAACACGCTCGGTTGCAAAGTCTGTGTCTGTAGTGAATGCCATTACTAAAGATTGGGAAGAAGATGAAGGAAATAACGACGATGAATCTGATTCGGATGATTTGGAAGAACCGTTTCCGAAACGACCAAAAGGTGCATCAGCAACCATGGAAGGAATCGATATCAGTGAAGAGATGGTTTCTGAAGTTATCGGTCGAATTCCAAAACTGCGCGATGCTACTTCAGGCGGAAGAAATGTTAGAATTGTCAAGAAAACTGTGGGTGAGTGTAGGTTGTGCTACAAAATTTGCTTGGAATATTACCTGAATGGGTCAGTGTTTTAGAATTTCGGTCTTTTAAATGCGGAACTTTGTTTCTAGGAAGGGAAGAGCTTATCCGCATGCAAAGGAAAAGAAGCAATGACGATGGAAAAAGACTGGCTACGTTGGTACTCAAAACTATCGAGACGAGAAGAGTCGAGCCTGCGAAAACATCAGCTGTTTTAACGGCAGTTCCCGAACAGCCTAACATGGCAGCCTCTCCGCGGTATTCTGACTGGAATTGCAACCTTTGCCAAGATATTGGTCGCACTCATAAATTCAAGTCCCTCCCGCTTCTGACTGAACATTATGCTACGGTCCACGACATTGATATTTTTGTTGTGTGTAAAACCTGTGGACAAGATGCCCCCCGTCGACTTCTCAGTTCGACTGCCTCGTTTGTAACGTACTCATCAGTTATGCCTAATCCTGGCACCCATATCCGTTGTTTTACTTGTCATTATATGGTGGTGATGACCCCAAAAGAGAATACAGAAGAGAAGGAGGAAGACTCCGAAACGAAGCCAATCCCCAAGCCTGATAAGGCGAAGCCTCTGCAGTGCAAAGACTGCAAACTAACTTTTCGAACAGCATACAATTTGTCAATGCACCAAAAGGCCCGGCATCCACGAGCGGCGGCAAAACATTCAGGATTGGGGGATGAAGTGAGCGCCGAAGGGATTCCTTTTGATCAGATTGCGCTTAAAGCCCCAGACGGTACTATCATTGAATTGGCGAGAACTGTGGATGGTGAGCCGATAATTATTTCTGAAGCTGAACTTGCGGAACAAATCTTGGGAGAATTCACATATGTTCCCGAGGGAGTCGCCACTGCGGAAAACGGGGAAGAGCAATACGTGTACGTTCCAGTTCCAATCCATGGGGAAGCAGCAGGTATGTATTGTTTGTCTCATAGTTCTATTATTTGTAAAGGATTTTCCGCGTTCACTTGAATATTCTGGCGAACGTTAGATATGCGTGATCCTGAACTCGATCAATTTTTGTCTTATTTTTACGAATATATTCGTTATTTTGAGCCTAGGTTTTGTTGGAGGACGGAGCCATTCAGGTTTCTCATCCAGATGACTGATTGCTATATGCGAGTTGGTGAACTGTACAATGTAGACGATTTCATTTACAGGTATATTAAATGCACAAGCTTGAAGTATTTATGGCATTGTTAATCGATGAACGACACATTACAGACATTTTACTTTCGGTTGTCTTTCGGTAGTTTTTACGGTTGAATTTATTGCGGAGAAACAATAACCCAGTGCTTTGTGAGACCGTGATATGGATAAATTTGAACAGATGCTGTGCTGTGCCTTGAATTCCCAGATGATGCTGTGGTCGAACAAGTTGATCTCACGGCCGAAGAATTCAAGCCTCCCGTTCCTGCAGAAGACTTCCCCGAACCTTTCGATGAAGAAGAGCCTCAAGAAATAATTGCTGAAGATGTCAAAGAAACGTTGGAGGAGATAGTGTCATCAGAAGCGGTTCCCGAGGAAAGCAAACCAGACCTGGAAACATCATCCTCCGAAAATCTGCCTTCGGCAGAAATCCCCAAGATGGATATCATATCTGAGCCTGAAGAACTTCCATCTGATGCTGCGGAACCCGTGGAATGTACTGAAGTTGTTGATGGTGGAGACAGCAATAGTGTAGGCCCTGTTATTGAAGGAGATCTAACGGGCGAATTGAAGGCGGTGGTTGATCCTCCATCCGAAGCATCATGATAATTCCCGAGTACCGGCAGAAGGAAGTTTTTTACGAGCGAGATTATTCGCACGATTTTTATATGCGTCCCGGGTTCTCGGAAAAAATCGTCTCTCTTCGTATCGTCATCACCTTGACTTGTTTCTGTTTCTCTGAGGAAATAGTGGACTTCTCGTTGCTGCATTATTTTTACGATCACGCGTTGAATTTTTGTTCTGCATTCCCTTGTCTTGTTCATCAAGCGACGTTAGTTTCCTGTAAATATTGTTTTATCGTATTTACTTCGATTTTTTTATCATGTGTGTAAGTGTGCGGTGGCAAAATTGAAACATTTCAGGAATGTAAATGCATTATTGGATCATTAGTGTTCCCTTTGTTTTCTAGGAATGTTTTTGAACTTCTCATTTTCATTTTAGTGACCGATTGCCAATGGCGAATCGTACCGTCAAAGATGCCAAAACAATCAAAGGCACGAATCCTCAATACCTTATTGAGAAGATCATTCGTAGCCGTATTTATGACAGCAAGTACTGGAAGGAAGAATGTTTCGCCCTTACTGGTAAACACGGATAAAAGGGTACTGAGACAGTCTTTTGCTGATATCTTCGTTTCATTGCAGCCGAACTTATCGTGGACAAAGCCATGGAATTGAAGTATGTAGGTGGAGTTTTTGCCGGGAATATCAAACCCTCGCCATTTCTCTGCCTTGCTCTCAAAATGTTGCAAATACAACCGGAAAAAGATATCGTGGTTGAGTTCATCAAGCAAGAAGATTTCAAGTAAGTGTGATGTCGAACCGTCCCATTGCGGACGACTTTCATCATTCGGGCTTTCTTAGATATGTTCGTGCCCTGGGTGCATTTTATATGAGGTTGACTGGAACATCGCTGGATTGCTTCAAATATCTTGAACCCTTGTTGAACGACTACAGGAAGATGCGGTTTCAGAAGCGTGATGGCCGTGAGTTCTGCATTAAAAAAAAAAATTTAAACCAGCAATTCCAAAAGTGAATTCAGAAAAGTGCCGAATTTTATAGACCGAATTCCTCAAAAACCTCTTGAATTTCATCCGGAAATTAACTTGAGGTGGACATTTCTCGAAAGCTGTAGAAAATGGACGTTCGTTTTGTTGTAAGTGACCCTCAGATACGTACTCGATGCAGATCTCTCGTTAAATGACGTGCAGATATCTTGACGAGCATAGATACATTCTTCGAACTACTTTGCGACTAATAGCGCCTCCAAGTATTTTCTAATGGTGGCGACGCATAAGTCAACATATCGTATTGGATTGTTCTATTCTCAGACTTCGAACTGATGCACATGGATGAGTTCATCGACAGTTTACTCCGCGACGAACGTACTTTCGACGTCATCCTTCCGAGAATATCGGTTTGTTCATCATCATTTTGGTGTAAAGATTATCGAATAATGCCAATTTTTGTTCATAGAAACGATGGGTACATGAGGCCAATAATGAGCTCGAGCCGAGAGTATCCGCATTAGAGGATGATCTAGATGTCGAGGAGGAAGAGGATGAAATGGACGTGGACGAGTTGGAGCCTGTTCCAGAACGTAACGAAAATGCGCTGAAAGAACGTGAGCGTCACAAGGAAAAAGATAAGAGAAGAGATTCCGAAAAAGATTCAAAAACCAAACGGAGAGACAAGGAGCGAGAAAAAATCCGTGATCGTATTTCCGGAAGAAGAAGGTTGGTCATTGACTCATGGTTGCCGTCGTCTCAAAACATTCTGACTTTATTTCTCCGAAAATATTAAAATCGTGACCTACGCTTTCGTTTTTGGTTACCTGTGTCCGGATTAAGTGCCTTCTGTAGCATCAACGTATCCCGTATTTTTCCAAAATAATGACATTCACTTCGTTCATGTAGACGGTCCAGAGAGCGAGACGAAAAGCACCATGAACGAGAGCGTGATCGTGACAAAGAACGGATTCGAGGGAGAGAACGGGATCGCCATCATCGTGATCGAGATGTGGAGAAAGAGCGGGACCGTGAACGTCGCCAAAGAAAACGTCCAAGAGAAGAAGAACGAACGAAACGTTCTCGGCGCTCCAGATCTCCAACTCCACTGAGTGAGCTATTATATTGGTCCATCGCATTTCGAGATTTTATGTTTCGATGAAATCCATTTTTGCAGGCAAACACAGAAAGGATGACCGCAAAAAATCATCGAAAAACAGCGTCTCGAACGAAATAGCTGAGGCGAATGCCTTGCGAGCCAAGTTGGGATTAAAACCTCTTAAATGATTGTAACAGTAGATTTTGTCTTGTTTTACACATGAATGAAGATTGTGCGGTATTTTGTTGGATCTTTCAACCCCATATTGAAATTTCGTATGTCTTGAAGAATTTTTTCGAGTCTCATTGACACCTGTTATCTCGAAATGATCTTGGAATTCCTTGCAGGATGTTGTTCTTCGGTTCGTTTTTTAAAAGCATTACGACGGGGATTTCGTCGCTACCAGTGATAACATCCGTGCGAAATATTCAGTACTTCTCTGAAAGAGTCGCGAAGGGACCTTTGCTTAAACGACGTGGATATGTTGACAAAGGCAAACTCTCAGGTCAGATGATATACCGAGGATTCGGCTTTCTTGTCTCGTCTCCGGGTGCTAAAATGTCAAAATGTTTGGAAATAAAGTACAGTACAGGTAGTTTGATATCCCTAACCCGATTGATAGAGCATGCCTTGGAGGGATTATTAGTGTCGATCATTTACCTTCTGTTCGGCTGTATGTCAGGTTTACTTCCTCGTGACGAGATGGCGGCGAGTGGAAAACAATTAGTCCCTGTTTACCGACCCAAGGATGTATGGTCAGAACGTCGTGCGTTATTTGGACAGAATGACTATATCGGTGAGTGATTTTTCGCACGTTCGTTTGAACACAATTTATTCGGATCTTCATCACGTTCAATTGTGAAGAAATTACTTGATTGAGCTTACTTAAGAAATTACTTAAGTAATTAAGAACTTTAGTAATTAAGAAATTACTTAAGTAATTAAGAACTTTAGTAATTAAGAAATTACTTACTTTCGCGTGCAGTTCTAGCGAACTTCCATGGATCAGTGTTTGTAGTCGCTCGTGGATGACGTTAATCCGGGTTGACGTGAACCGATTATCATCCGGTCTCCTTCATATTCAATAAACGCGTAGTTTCGTTAGGGATTATACTGAATCTCTTGTCTGTTTTTTCAACGTTCAGAGGAGCAGACCACCAGTTCTCAGGGGCAATTTTCTATTCGAATGAATACTTTTATTTTTGCCTGAAATCATTCCGGGCATTTTTTTTACAGATTTCCTCCGCGAAGTATTTTTCTCGCGGTATTGAGGGATGTACGATTCAATTGCCTGAGTTGATGAAACAATTCGGTGTTCATAGAGTTGTCTGTTGCCTTGTTCGCAGACATCTTGGGCTCAGGCAAGGTGCACCCGGTTGATCTCATGTATAACGTACCGAAATGGCTCCGCGGCTTCCGGGGAAATGAAATGCAAATGTTGGTGAGGAAGCGAAAAATTTTTGGCGCCTGGATGCAAGAGCATCGTCCAAAGAAATGGATGGACATGGAAAAACGCGTTCGGTATTTATACAAGCGCCTGAATCACAAGAAGGAGAGTCGAAGGCTCTACAGTGGTGAACATAAGACGCCTACCGGACCTACGCTAAAAGATTATATTCAAGGGCGTGCGAAACCGCGTTACTCAGATGATTTGTGATTGAATGTTTTTAGTGTGACTGATTTTAGGTGCGATAAATTGTGAAACGAAGTTCACACATGCAGCTAGTTTATTCTAACATTTCCGCGATCTTCGCGTTTAATTAATTACAGGACGACTTAAAAACGGAATAATCGTGTCATACGGAAAGTTTATCACGAAGGCACTTCTACAGCCCGAGGTTGATTTCAGGAAGCGTAGTGAAAACTTGTTCACCGGTTCTTTCCTTGATAACGAACGGCTCCCGCGGCTCTCTCAACTTGATGCTACGAATGCCCATGTAAGGTAGCATGGCTTGAGCCTCCATGAGTTCCGTCTGTGTCTTCGGGGCCAAGTAAGGAATTCCTGATTTCTCCACGGAGTAGATTACCTGTAACAAGGAGAAACGAAAAATTGGGTCGAAAAGTCGTGTTCATCTTTGTATACGTGATGCTTACAGTTCTGCACACTGGACAGAATTTCCCGCGTCCTCGTCGCTTCGCATGCGTTTCGTAGCATGTTTCGCATGTTACTTCGTGATTGCACGGATGGAATGTCATGTTCGCTTCGTTTTCCATGCATACGGTACATAGTTTCTTCTCTGGTTTCTGCGGAGAATCCAGTTCCATACCGGCAGAGCGGATCACCTGTGGAATGAAGGAATGTGTTTTTAGACGTTTACATAGACTTTCAAGAGAAATGGAGACGTGCGAGGTGTGATCGAAGAATATTTTTAAATGTTGCGAAGTCTGTAGGAACCCTGTCGGAAGAATTTTTTTTACGGAGAACATCTTTGTAAAGAGTTCATTTGTGCTAGCCACCCCACAGCAACATCCACCTCATTTTAAGATCATACCTCTTTCTCTATTCGTGATCTATGAAAAAATCATATTGCAATAATGCGTTTGGCCAATTGCAATATTGTAATTGGCTCGTTTTGTTTACGCTTTGAAAAATACTCACGTCTTTCACTTGTCGTTCTTGTAACGCCTTCGGCATGTTGATCACGGCATTCGTTGCCATGCCTTTAACAGCGGAGGCTACAGCGCCGAGTAGACCTGTTGCCTGTTGTGTCCTGGCGTCCCCACTCGCACCTTCCTGATTCCGTTTGGTGAACGTGTTGATGTTCCACGGAAGGGTTTGGGGTCTGATTGATTGCCGATTTGCCTTTTCCATGGCTTTGAAGGATTCAGCTGTGTAGGACGGTGGGTGAGCCATTGGGACAACGTCCGCATAACCGATGCCTGCGATTGCCTTCGGTCCGTGTGGTCGAAGATCCAGCTTGTAGCGAATCCGCTCGGCCCCACGCATCCGATTGGCCTTGAGATCAGAAATTGTGGAACCTCGTTCGATTTTATGAAAGCAAATTGTCGGTTTTTTTTTCTTCTAGGAACGGTCAGAACGGCGAGCGGAACTTCGCCGACTGCCATCTTGATCTTAATTTTTTAAACATGAATGGAGCCTTTTTATGGAAATAGCAACAGTATTTTCCCTCCCTCCCGTAGAGCAACTGGCTACCTACGCTATACGATGTTTTGTATTGTATGTTGGATTTGATGATTCCACGAACTCTCGTTACAACGAGTTGATGATTCCATCTTTTGGGACTTGTAACAAGCTTCGTTATAACGATAATAATTTAAAGTGATTTGAATACAGATGTTGCTATTGGGCAGTGACCTGGAAAACGGATTAGTTGAAACAAATTCGTTGTATTGAGATTTGCGATTCTACTGTATCTTGTCTATTCAACATGAGAAGATTACTTGAGTACCATGCGCGCCTCTTTTCGAAATTGATAAACTGAAGAGGTAGGTGCGTTTCGTTGGCGGGTGTAGCATTTGAAAAGGTTTAGAAGCTTTGGTGCGTGTCATACTTGATGCCAAGGGGGAATTTTGACCAGATTTCAACAGGCCATTAAAAATGTAAAATTCATAATCAGTTCATTAATGTATTTAAAGTCCTTATTTATATTTTGATGTACAGTATTTTATTTTCAGAATATTTCAATTTCGGTCTCTAAAAATTGAATGTGTGTCTTACTCAGGGATACATTTTTATCCCAACTTTGGTCTGAAAAATTCAGTTCGTCGCCTTACGCCTGATGCGTGGTACTCGAATAAAGTCCGCATTGTAAAGGATCGGACCGAATAAAAATTACATATTTCCGAAGAAAATCGTGTGCTTGACAAGTCTTTTCCATTACGTATAAGGTAAATCTGTATGAGGAACGCTCCCTGATCGTAACTTTGCCTAAGGCCTCATTCTAGTGAGATGTTACGAATATCATTAGGTCGTTCACGTGACAGCAGTTTCGAAGGATGAGCGTGACATGTATACGTTTTGTGGCTGAGTGGCTAAAAATAGTCACGTCGCACTCTTTTCTAGCGTAACTGTCCGATGATCATGTATTGGGATGGCACGAGCTGGAGAATTAACTTTGCAGGCGCACTATGTTTCATTTTAACTAAATCACGGATGAAAGGTAGAAGTTCCATGACCGTTTTGAACCTACTGTATTCCAACAATCGCGGACCGAGTGACATTCACTGAAGTTGGTTGCCCCGTCATAAAAATACTCACGGTTGTCATGAAGGGCGATGCGCCGGTTATGTCGTGCATAGTGCGCATGGAGGCGAACGAATGATTCATGGAGTAGCTTTGTCGTTGTATTCGGTTCCTCCGAAGGCTCTCGACAAAGGTGTGGAACACATTCTTTCCATCTTTGGACGGCCTGGAGTCACGACGTGGATGACTGATCCTGTCGGAAAACGCGCCGTTCGTCGGGATTTGGTGGTAATGTCCGCGTGCTTGGAGACCCGGATGATTTTTGGACGGTTTCAACTGTCCAGAGTATGACATGGGGAATATAGAAAATTTATTTTGCCTCAGGAACAGTTTCGGAAAGTAATGCATGCGGATGTGGACTCTTTCTACAACAATCTTGTGTATAATGAATTTCTCTGTATTGTATAATGGATATTTTGGGTCTCACAGGTCTCTCCCCGGGTTATTGTTCTCTACAAAAAAATTCTCTCTATGCCGATTTTTATTCGAGTCCCTTGAATTTCTTTATGGAGATAGAGAGTACTCCTGTATTGGTTATTTCTGTCTCCAATTGCGGATGCATGTATGACGATGCGTTTTCAATAGGTTTCGGGATGCTTTTCTTAAGTTCTCGACTCCAAAATCCCTTCGATTGGCTGCTTAACTCAATGCTGCACTCATTGATTCAGTTGAACACTTGCGAACATTCGTTGTTTATCCTTCATCCCTCTATACTGCACACTCAATTCATCACGCGATTTGATAAAATTCGAAGCCTTCACATTTTCTGTTTTTGAAGTGCATGCAATTGCCAGAAGTTGAAAGTCTTACGAACCTTTTTCTCATGATCTTCGAACTTGAAAAAAAAATTACATGCACGTCTGATGCACATGTGTAGTAGAACTTTCATTACCATAGGTTGTTTGTTGAAGCGAAATCAGCTCAACTTATAATTCAAAATTGGGCGCTGGACAAGAATATCCCAAAAACCTATCCCCTTGTTCATAAGATCCGCGCACCCCAGTTTTTGTTGGCTGAAAATCAAAATTTATTCGCCAAATAATGCTTCCTAAGAAAATAACCTTATTAATAAATCGAAGAGCATGAAGAATCGCATCACGATTGTTGCGAAAAATATTTTGAATCAATTTTTTCACGCGAGACCAACTTCTGCTGCATCAAAATGATTTCATGAAACTTTTTCAATTGAAATCCGCATATCACACACATACCATGTTTCTGTCATAATTTTCCAAAAAAGAGATGCGCGCGGTTCTCGAGAAAAATATGGTAATGCTGTAGCTTCTACCGAAAATGCACTTTTTAGACTTCGCATTATTTTCATGTTAAAATACTGTACTGCATTTAAAAGTAATAATGAACTATCATAAAAACATGCGTTGGATATTTCGAACATGAGATCTAGAATACTTTTTTTCCGTCTTCAGTGGTTGAAAGCAAATACAAAACAGGGGGACAATGAAGATTTTAATGATTTCGAAATAATTGAAATAAATCAGAACATCAATTCAAGTCTAGTAGAAATAATGGAGGACCAGATCTTAGATTATATTATTCGAAAATAAATTAAATTGCACTTCCGATTACTTGAACTTGAATGACGCCACGGGAAGTACAGGAATGGAATTAAGACTGAAGTACGATACAGCAATTGATGGGCTGCCAAAAGAAATTTCTTAATTACTTTAAGCTATGCGACCGCATCATTAATAAAGAGGCGACTCGCTTCTCGATTATCACGTCGAATTAGCCGGATTGTCAAAATGCCGTGAATATAAGCCCGAATGGACATAATTTAAGAGCTCAAGATGTCAGGACCCGGGAGGTTAATGAAGAAAATTCTTTTCCGAGCGTGAGAAACATTTCTCCTCCGCATTTCAATCAATATATCACGAAAGAAACGCTCATGCCTTATGCGCTCAGATGCTGAATCTTGCAGAATGTGGTGAAGCATCTGAAAATTCGTTCTACATGAAGTCTCAAGATGCGTAGTTTACCTCGTAAAAATTCGTGGGTCGTTTCGCCTTCAACGTTCCTGCGGAGGAATAAACGTCTCTGCGCCGGCTGAGACTAGCGACATGGGAATGATCCGCGTAGTTGTGATTTTCGTCTCTGTAATTGGATGGGGTGAAAGTCACCCGCTTTGTCCCCATCTTTCGATTATACAGGCCCTCGGAAAAATCGTGTACTTCGAATCTTAGCAGTCCATCTTTGTTTTTACTTCTCCCAAATCAGCGTGTTGTTCTGTCAAGATAAAATACTCTTCAGGTATACTTCGGATTTCGTCGAGACTATATTAGTGACGAGCAATGTCACTACAACAACGTACAGGACACCAACGGGGTTAACTGGGGGAGTAAACCCGAAATTTTGCACCGTTTATCTCAAATTATTTTTCAGTAGCTTCTTATTGCTGGCACGTTTGGAAAAACCCCATGAAATGGCCTTAACCTGCACCGGTTTGTTTGCTGTTGGCGTGTAATAACGCTTATACTTTATTTATGTTAGTTATA